TTAAAATTGAAAAGTCAGGAAATACCAGTCACTGGGGGGTGGGGGAGGGGGCAGATATAGAAGTAAATAAAGGGGGAAAAAAGAGCACCAAAAGTTGAGAGCAGGGGTGCCTGGGTGATTTAGTCAGTTAAGTATCCAACTCTTGATTTGATAAGACTCAGGTCATAATCCCAGGGTCGAGTGATGGAGCTCCATGCTGAGCGTGGAAACTCCTTGAGATTCTCTCTCTCTACCTCACTCCGTGCTCCTCCTCTGCTCATGCTCACGCATGCTCTCTCTCTCTAAATAAGTAAATAAACATTTTTTTATAGATATATGAAAAGCAGTTGTCTCTGTGAGAAGGAGGAAGGAATGGAGAGAGAGGTATCCATCTTTCACTCTAGGCCTAACATACTTTGACTTTTTAAACTAAGTACACTTACTGGTTTCTGAAAAATTTTAAATTAATTGAAGTGGAGCTACATGAATCAATACTGACAAAATCTCAAAAAGAATATTGGGCAAAAAAAAAAAAAAAAGGAAAATTTCAAACTGTTGAGTTCACTACTGAAGTTTAAAAGCAAACAACCAAAACAGACAGTGAGGAGTGTAGCCATTGTTAGGCAAACTGTAACTCTTCTTCTTACTAGCAATGACATGGTGGACTAACTGAGTTACCAGCTGGTTGCCTGAGTCTTCTCATGTAACAAAATAAAGATAACTATAGTACTGATGATTATGATTATGTTACTTTGCGGACTGAGATAATGCATGTGAAGTGCTTGGTACATAGTATATTCTTCCAAAATATGTGTTATTAATCTTTTTTACTCCTTTTCAATTTTTCTGTCATGAAAATACAAATTCTTACTTGAAATTATTTTTCCAAAATGTTCCAAAGTTCATTGAATTAAGAAGTGGCATCTACTATTTAATCTATTAGTGGTGTCAAAAAAATAGCCTCAATTAACACCTACCCTGCGTGATCCCACACAGAAATAAACATTGAACAAATATTTAAAGAATTATTGAAGAGGTGCCTTAATCTCCTCTAATTTTACACATCCACCTAGTAGGTTTAAGGAATAAATAACAAGATATGGGGAAAACAGAGATACAAAACACATGGTTTCTGCAATCAGCTAGCTCACTGTAATCAGGGTAAGGGAAGCAGAGAGGCAGAAATGCAGTGTGATGTGGTATGTCATGGCTTTGAAGTCAAGCAGTCTGGGGATCCAATCCTGGTTTTGCAATCTTAAACTCCAAGCTCGTTTCCTATGCAAAAAATTGGATAACAGTAATTGCCTTGCAGAGCTGCCTAAAGATCAAGACAATACCCTTAAAGCAACTACCATGGGACATACAGTAGGTCCTCAATATTTGTTAACTCTCAGTCCTTTTAGAATTACTGTTGATGATACCTACACTGAGAAATGGGAAATCGGAGAGGAAAAGGCTTTGTACACATCTGTTGTAAAATTTTCACAAAAAGACACAAATAAATGCTCTGCAAATTCTTAGTGAGAGAACTTACTTCAGATAAGAGAAACCAGGGAATATTTTTTCTGGAGACACTGGCATTTTAAATACCATGTTCCAAAGATCCTAAGACACATGTTTTCATGTTTTAACATCTCTGAAACAGAACATATCCAGCAATGATGATGTGTCAGTTCAATTGGCAACTTTTTTTTAGTGGTATATAAAATAATAATGCATTTTAGATTCAGTAAAGTACAATATATATGGATGAAGGGAATTCTGTAGAGAGTGGCAATACCCAAGGCACAGTGTTGCAATTCCCAGCATGATGTTGGCATATATAGTTCGAGTTGGCTGGCATATAGTTGTATACAAAGAGGATCCAGGAAATAAGAATGATGAGGTAGACTGTTCCATCAGTTTGTTTACCTGTGTCATTATCATTCTAGCTAATTTACTGTTGTTTTATGTGGCAAAGTATAAATTTGATATGTGCTAGGATGAGTCCACCCATACTGTACTTCAAAACCAATTCGCTCTTCTTGACGCTCTTCTATGTCAATTTTTAAATCAGACTGTCTAAGCACACCACCCCTGAGGCAGGAAGGCTGTTCGCGAATGCACACAGCGCCCCCTCGTGGCGAAAGGGCGTTTGCGCATGCGCAGAGCGCCCATTCGAAACGCAACGTTATTCGCATATGCGCACAACCCATGCTGGGCGAGGTAGGGCATCTACCCTAACGCTGAAAAAAGCTACTAGTTGGGATTTCTATTAAAATTGTATTAAACTTAATGGTTTCATTTGGGGAGAATTTCTATTCTTGTATTCCCATCCAAAAACGTGGTATCTCCATTTATTTAGATCTTACATCTTTCAATAAAGTTGGGTAATTTTTTCCATAGAGGTCTTGTACATCTTTTGTTGAATTTAGTCCCTGGTATTTATTTTTGCGATCAGTTATTATAAATGGTGTTTAAGTTATGTTCGGTAAATTTATGGAATATTTAGCAGTCTCAAATATATAAGACAATACAATACGTTTAATCTTGTTTTCCTATGTTTATACATATCACAATTTAAAAATTAACAAAAATATTTCCATGATACACAAAATACTGCAACTTCAAAAGTCCAAATAAAAGATTCATAACTCATATGCAACTTCATTTAAAATAACTAAAGCACAGATATAAACTGTCCTGGAAATAACATAGCATCCAAAATTATATACAATACATATAAAATGTTGGATTAAATACTGGATTAGATCTACTTCTGCAATTTTGAAATAAATAATGGCATCAAAACAATTATTCTTGCTCACTTTAGTGATTTTATTCTATCAACTCCCCATTTGCCATACCAACTGAAAGAAACACTGACACATACAACAACAACAAAAAAGCAGATATTGTGCCCACGTGAGTTAAATGTACACTAAAAAGTTAGGCATCCCCTAAATTTGTAGGTATCCAGAACAGCTGGGCCATTATCCACTCTCCTTTCCCTTAAGACAACTTCACCGATCACATGAGAAAGATGGTGGCAGGGAACTGAATTTACTGGCAGGAGAAACAAATCCCAGATAGTTCCCTTAAAATCCAAAATAGACTATACACAGACATTTCTTTTCCCAAAATTTCTCTGACCCAATTTCTAAATTCTCCTTACTCTTTTGCTGTTTTTCTTAGAGAGTCATTAACAAGCTAAAAAAACAAAATCAACAAAATGAGTTTGGGACCAGTTTGGCTAACTTCCAAATTTCTATCTCTTGGGCTCCAGATCTTTGGACGTACCTAAGCTAGCGTTCTGTCACATCTCAAAAATGGCATGCTTACTACTAAAGTCCAACCCTATCTCAAAACTATGTCCTCTTTCCATTAGTCCCAATGTCACTGGGTAGTAGTTCAAACTAGATACCTGTCCTTGAGTACTCAAAACAAACAAACAAACAAACAAACATTGTGAACCTCAACAACCAATTAATCATCAAGACCTGCTGGCTGACTCTATCTCCTTAATACCCTCCTTTTCTACTCTCACTGCCACTTAGTTCAGGCACTCCCTTTCCTGTACTGCAGTAATTTCCTAAATTGCCCTTTCTTCCCTCATCCTCCATAGTATGACCAGAATAATCTTTCAAAATGTAAATGGGTACATGTTCCTCTCCTGGTTAAAATTCTTTAATGCCTCACCAATGCCTCCAGGATAATATCCAAAATTATTAGCATAACATCCCAAAAAGTTTTATAGACTATATCTCTAGTCAGCCTCATGGTCCACAGCCCCCTCTTTCAAGCCCTGTTCTCTAAATGTCCCCACACCTCTGCACATACTGCTCCCTCAACCTCAAACCCCTTCTTTATTTTCTAATACCACTTGGAAATATGCTTCAATTCCTTGTAAATGAGCTGAAGCAAAATAATCTCACAAACCTTCCCTGAATCCTTAAAAAGACTTAAGCACTGCTCTAAGTTCCTTTTGTACCACTTGTTATAGCACTTGTAACACTGCATTTTAATTCTCTATTATGTTTTTCTATTCCTAAATAATATTTCCTTAAGAAATATCCCAACTTAGGGGTGCCTGGGTGGCTAAGTCGGCTAAGCGTCTGACTTTGGCTCAGGTCATAATCTCATGGTCCATGGGTTTAAGCCGCACGTCAGGCTCTTTGCTGACAGCTCAGAGCCTGGAGCCTGTTTCAGATTCTGCATCTCCCTCTCTCTCTACCCCTCCCCTGCTCACGCTCTGTCTCCCTCTGTCTTTAAAATAAATAAACATTTGGGGCGCCTGGGTGGCGCAGTCGGTTAAGCGTCCGACTTCAGCCAGGTCACGATCTCGCGGTCCGGGAGTTCGAGCCCCGCGTCGGACTCTGGGCTGATGGCTCAGAGCCTGGAGCCTGTTTCTGATTCTGTGTCTCCCTCTCTCTCTGCCCCTCCCCCGTTCATGCTCTGTCTCTCTCTGTCCCAAAAATAAATAAACGTTGAAAAAAAAAATTTAAAAAAAAAATAAAATAAACATTTTAAAAAATTTAAAAAAAGAAATACCCCAATTTAAATCATAGTGTTTATTAGACACCGAAGTATTTGTTGAATATGCATTGTATTTCTATTAGCTTATTATTTTGAAAATATTGTCATCACTGATATTTTAAAATTAAAATATTTCTTGGTAGGAATAACAGTTACATCTTACAATGAGAAATTTTCATTATAAAGTGAAATGCTACATATTAATATGGGTTATATATTGAATATAAAAATATAAAATTGAAATATTTCACGCTAATGTTAAGTGGCTTATTCATTTAAGAAATACTGAAAGCTTTCTGATCTAAACAAAACTGTGAAAACTAAATCAGTAATTAAAAGGTATTTTCAAGTCGGAAAGATGTATCATTTTATTCCTAGAAAATAATTTTAAAATATTTGTTTCTTCTAAGTTTTAACATCCCTATGTTATTCTGAATACACAACTCTTAGGGAATAATATACGATTTACTAAACAATAAAATAAAATTCAAGATTATAAGTCTTCAGACTGTATTCATCCTTGAATGTTTAATTAAATTCCCCAAATAAATTAATTTACTAAATTATGGCATCTTTTATAATCATAAGATGAAATAACATACAAAGAGTCAACAGAAAGCCATTTGCAGTTAAATTATTAATTGTAGACTGCACAAATTATTTAAGAATATTATCAACAGTAAGCATCTCACTCAGGAGTAATGTATGTCAATCAAAAAAGAAAAAATTCAAAGCAGACACGCATAATATTAAACACAGACTGTCAAAGGTATACTTGTTTCCAACATAAGCATTCACAGAAAGAAAATGATACATACCAAGATATTTTAAAGTTATGCAATATTTTAATGATACTAGATTACAAAATATACGATCCAACCCCACAAAGAATCAAATTTCTTTTTACCCCATTGTCTGAAAAAACACCTTTTATAATTCCAAGAAGTTGTAAACTCCTTAAAAATACCTTGCGTTTACAATCTAAGCTAATATTAACATTACTCAGTGATTCTCATTCATTATGAATGCTTTTATGAATTTTTGAGGAGAACTGTCTAGATTCGGAGGTCTATTTCCCAATGGATGTTTTTAACCTTTATCTCCCAATGCCAAATGGTAAAGATTTCTAACTAAAGAAATAAAATTTAACTATAACATCATATGTTATAAAAAAATTGACATTTCCTTATGTACCCATCTATCCTCCCTCTAAAACCATGGAAAGAAAATCAGGGAAATATTTACTTTGAACTTGGCTGGAAATGATGAGGAAATTCATCAAGTCATTAAGGATGGAAGAAAGTAAAAACAACCAACCAAAAACACTAGTAAAGCTAAGACTGTCAAGTCACAGGAAGTCTATTTCTGCCACAAGCCTTGTGATAGAATGACTTATTTCAAACATTCCACAGTTGTCTTTTAAAACCTTCTACTAATATTACTATAATCCAGACTTTGGAGGTGGGGGGAACCTATACTAGGCCTTCATCTTTTAATTTAAAAGTCTACCTAAAAAAAAAAGGTGTCAATTTTTTATTTATCTTCTTAACAATATTTCTCTGTAGCTGTAAAAAACATTTTGGTAAACAGTTTAGAGTGATATTACTTTAACATAATATGACAACTTTAAGACAAGATTAAGCAGTTATTTGTATATGTACACATATTTTATTAAACTCTAAAGAGCAAACTCACTAAAACTTTAAACCATTCATTACTCAGTTACAATGGTTTTCATATAGTCAAGATTTTAAATTAGCTTCAAAATGTGATATTTTACTACAAAAACATCTTTAAATAATTGCTTCAAATTTGTGTACTTCCCCCAATTTTGAGTATATTAAATGGTTTATTTTGTTTTTTAAATGTTAACATTTATTGAGCCTTTATTATGTATCAGGCACTGTTCTAAGCACATTACACATGTAAATACATTTAGGGACTGAGTAATTAAGTAAATTGCTCTAGGAGACAAAGTAGACAAACTCTTTAAGTTTATAGCCTCTTGTGTGCCAAGGACTATGCCTGGGACTTAAAATTCAAAATTCAAACAAACAAACAAACAAAACCACATAGTCACCGGTTTCAGGGACTTCATAACTATTTATACCAGTATAAACTAACAACTCTTTCAGTAATAAAAGACCTTCTAGTAATATGATCCAATTGCTGGTAGAGCTCAAATTAGTATAATTAAATTCTTCAAAAGACTGTTCACAAAGGAGAGGACATTTGGTTTCAATGGGTGGGAAAGGGAAGAGGAAAAAGTAAGGCAGTAGATTGGAACCTGATTCTAAGGTCCCAGTAAAATGCCATCTGAAGGAATTTAGATTTGATTGCATAGTAGGCAAGTGAGATCTAAAGAATAATTTTAATATGACCAGCCAAGTGTTTTAGTAGAAAAACAAAACAAAAAATGTCTCAGTGCTATTGAAGATAAGGTGAAATAGAAAAGAGATTAAAAACAATAAAATTAGTTAGGTAGCTACTGGAATAGTCAGAGGAATGAGGAAGACTGAAGCAGAGCAGTAGTATGGAGAAGAGAATGAAGAGTCTTTGCCAGTGCTTAGAAACTGAGTTTGATGGGGAAGATGAGACAGGACTGACTCTGAAGTTTCTAGCTTGGAAAACTAGCAAGAAGTGGTAACATTAAAGGGATATAGGAAAAAGCAACAGGAGTTGAGGGGAATTGGGGTATGATTCATGATTTGAAATAATCTAATATAGCTGACACTACTAGTCTTAATTTTTATATAAAAAGTCAGTTACTTTCAGTTATGATATATAAAATACCAACGTAAATTTCTTAAACATTTCTTTTGGCTGTATTTATACTGTTTTCTTGGCAAAAATACATCTAACACTAAGCATGGAATTTCTTCTTGGAAAGTATAACCTAAAATAAAAAGATCAACCTCCCTAAAACCCAAAAGGACTGATTTATTTACTGTACATTATTAATGTATGAGGGGTTAAGACTTTGATACAGCTGTAGCACTCACTTTGATGTCAGTAGTGAAAGAAGTACCACAGTTGCCTTCTGCAACTAGTCTTAATGAAAATATAGTTTTCACATCTCTGAGAGTATCAAATGTCACTTCAGACCTTTTTTGCTTTGCTCTGAGTAGTTTTATTAACATTTGTATTCATATCAATTATTAAAATTAACATTTTAAAATTAGTAATTTGCTTTATTAATGTCTACTTGAGTTATAAGTATCCATTTCAAGCAAAATAAAACATTCAGCATGACAGTGTAAAATTATTTTAAAAGCTGCAATAAAAACAGTAATTGCTTTTTCTAGTGTAAGAATTCTTACTTTCTTTTTACTTCAAACTGCTACTAAGAATGAAAAACAAATAGAAAATGATTTCTTTTTCTAAAACATTAAATCCAGCAGCATTCAGCTAATGCATAGATAACATAGGAAACGTCAAACTGTTCTTCCTCAATTTGATAGTTTCCACATAAGGCAAATAAAATAATTATTTCTTTTAATAACTTAATAGGTACACAGAGGGTTAAGACCATCCACTTCCTTAAGAGGGTAACATATAATTCAGCAAAATATAGCAATAAAGTTAGGAAAACTTACTTATACAGTACATCTTACTTATACAGTAAAGACGATAAAAGTGGATCATTTTATAATCTGTAATAATAAAGGCATTCGGGTGAACTTTATGAAATACAGTTTTTAGATATAAATCTATACTGTGACAGAATTATATAAGACCTCTGTTGTTAAGAAATGTAATTACTTAACAACAAAATATTTTTGCTGAAATCACAAATGAAAATACATATGTTTGACCAACAGGTGGTGCTCAATTTCCACTTACAAAGAAAATAAATCTTCCCCAAAGCATTTCCAGCACAATGAAATCATTTTCAGACTATGTGGCAATTTTAAAAACTCAAACATCAGGAGAAAACCCAGTGCATAAACATTATTTTAACTGTTTCTACTGCACAGAGAAAAATAATTTTGGTTACCTTGCAAAAGAATTTTAAGACTGACACTGACTGCCCATTCATCTGCAGAAGAGTGCTAAAACAGTTTTAAAATTTTGCTGAAACATTTCTTTTCAAAATTAACATTGAATACTGCAAAAAAAATGTTAAGCAACTCAGAAATATACTTTAAAAAATTAACCCAGTATTTACTATAAACTAAAAAATAATTTTAGGTCATTTTATACCAAATCATGCTTCAGAATTCTAAGTATTTAACATTCTATCCTTTGCTGGAAAGATAGCTTTAAAAACAAAAACAAACAAACAAAACTAAGAAATTCAGCTAAGCCAGAAATCAGTATATTTCTGAAAATTTAGGTTTCTATAGGCCATTATACTCTTTATTCGTAAAAACAGTTGAAGCCCCAATTGTCTGGCTGAATTCTAACTCTACGTGCCATTCTCACCAAAAACAATGCTTTTACTTCTTACCAGAAGAATGATAAAACAATTAGTCTTGCATTTCCACAAATACCCAATTAGGGCTTCTATTATACAATTTTAAATTTATCTATTATACAACTAATTCTTTCTTCTTCTAATGGGAGAAACAGAGTACTACAGAAATTCTGCAAAACTTAATAGCATTATATGATAAAAAATACTCCAACACAATAATCTTTAATCTATTCAAGCTACACTGTTCTTGCTACTTAATGTAAAGATAAGGCAAAAAGTATTTGGCTACTGAATGTCAAAAAGAAGGATAGAAGACATTAAGAAAATTTACTTTTTTGCATAAAACCTGTGCACAGAAAAAGGCACTGTTAATCTATTAGTCAAAGGGAGAGCTATAAAGCAGGATAGACACAGATTTAAACTAAAATCCAAACAAAACAATTTCAATGGCTTTTTAGTTTTATTGGAAGCCCCCTAAGCCCTAAGTTTTGCTTTACAAAAATTAAATGCCACTGATTACTAAGTTGCTTAATGGTGTTAAGAAGAAATCAGTTCAAATTCAGTCTGAGAGATGGGAAACAATGTTATAATTGCAGAAAATAGAAATAAATTTTTAAAAATAGCAAAGTTCCCGATCAACACAAAACACAATTCATCCCTTGATAATACACTATTTTCTCATACAGAATTTTAAAGCGTCGTAAGTCTTAACAATTCCTAATTCATTCTATTTTGATTTTTAGAATCATGCTTATTTATTCCCTGTTATTAACTAGTCATTAATCAAAAACCTAATTTAGTTCTTACATATTTTCAAAAAGCAGCAAAAAAATTTAAACTTCATACTTTAGCATTTAAAAATATATATATTTATTCTTGCACTTTATAAGGTGACTCTTTTCTTCCACATCCACATCAAAATTCTGGCTGGCTGAGCTAAACAATATTTAAAATTAACTTTCAGTTTTATAAAGTGCCATTATTTCATTAAAATACAACATATCAAATTTTCCTGTTACCTAATGCCAATAGAGACACCTAATTATAATGAGTACACATCGAAAAAGTAGCCCCAATTTTTTGCTGCTATCCTACAGCAGTCTGATTTATACCAGTTTTTAGAATTCTCTAACATTGTTAAAGTCATTTAGTCAAGAGTCTACCAAAATCTTGTTTTTCTTTTAAACTGATGGCAGAATTATACCTTTATGATATACAAAATAAATTCCCAGTTTGCAACTAGTTTAAAGCTCCTCAAATAAATCCCTCCCTTCTACTTCCTTAGTAAACCCCCACAAGACACCATATTTTGTGCATACAGAACAGCTTCTCATTGTTTTCTTCATATCTACACAAGCATGTTTACATTACAGAAATATGTACCAGAAAACAAAGATATACTTAGTTTAGAGATAGAAAAATGTTTCAGTTACAATGTAAAAGTTACTGAATATGGAAAGAAAAGCCAGCAGGTAGTTAGGCTCACTTTTACACAATCTTTCCACTTCAGATAAAGATATGTATTTCCTACAGAAAACTCACTGGCTTTTACTTTTCAATAAACTGCCAAAATGAGTATCTATACTTTAAAACGCAAAAAATATAAAAATTTAAGTCAAAAAAAAAAAAAAAAAAAGGCCAGTCTGTCCCTGTTCACAATTGCCTGCTTGTCCAGCAAGACCTGGGTCCCTAGGTAAGTTATCCACTCTGCAGGAGCTGATGAAAGTAGTGCATGTGAAATTCGGAAGGCTCCAGAAGGAACTAAATAGCGTGGAACACAATAACACGATAAAATGTCAGTCGAGAATCTGAAAAAAAGGGTAGATTTCATGGAAAAATCATTAGATATTTCTTCCCAGAACATCTAAAATGATGGGTAAATGAGCCTAAATGTGCAAATTTAGACCCTAAACTTAAAGGTTTCAGAAAATGAATTTCTTAGAGCTCAAAAGTAATGTGTCCATTCTCACAGGGAATTTTGATTACAGTTCCAAGTTTGTACAATCTATAGTTTCTAAAGCCAGAAATAAATGGTTACATTTCAGACTCTCATTTGAAATTTTCAAAAATGTTTTAAACTAATCACTGGTTCTGCTAATGATTAGAGTACCTGGTTTCATTTTTATATCTCTGGCTCAAGAAATTTTAGTGACATAACTAAAATAATTTTATATACACTTTACTATTCAAAAATCTAAAATCAATAATTCTTTACACAGAGACACACTCTCTTTCCCCTACTTGTTCAAAGTGGCCTAATTTAGAGACAAATAGATTCACAATTTTTTCATGTACAACTTTTGGAATTGTACAATAAATGTGTCCAAAAAGAAAGATAATGGTTTTAATTAAATGTGCAGACCAAATTACCTACTGTATTATAGGGCAGTTGTTAAAAATTAATGGCTATAAAAGACCTGATTTTTTTATATTACTTAATTATCTCCATATGGAGATTTTTACTGTAAAGTAAATATGTTTAACAATGTTCTATATACAGAAAGATGTATTCATTCTATGGAGTTTTACTTGGTTTTATTTTGCTATGGTAGCAATTTGAGAAAACCTAGAGGGCAGCTCCTAGACCTAAAAATTATTCATTAGTATGAAATAAGTCACTTAGTTTCTTTTACACACACACACACACACACACACACACACACACACACACACAAAGCAACAAAGAGAAAGGAAAAAAAGATGTGTATTTCTGGCTACATTTTTATTACCTAGAATTTATATAATGAAGGCCTACATGGAATTGTTTTATATATATAAGGGTAGAGTTCTGCTAGTTCCAAAATATTATTCACTCAAAATGATTTATAATTAAAGATCACAGTTAGGAAAATAAAATGAATATCAAAGAATATATGTATGTTTAAATATGTTTATAGTTTAAAATAATAGCTTAAAATATGGTCTATAATTAGATTATAGACTGTAGTAAAGTATATGTATACATGAACATAATAAAAAGCAACATACCTACTAAAGGTTTTTTCTATGAAATGAAACTGATTCATAAAGTAACCACTGTAGCATTTTAATGATAGCTTTTCACTGCATTTTTGTCTACTGAATGTAAGAAACAGTAGAAATAAAACTCAAGGATCTCTGAGTTGTTATTTCTACCACTTGTTAATTCTGAGACCTTTGGCTTTATTTTGTTGCTCGGTTTTCTATCAACTACTCTCAAAATGGAGGAGGCACATATTTATATAGATAAATTAAGTGATAAAAACCTAAAATGAGTTTAAAGCTTTAAAATGCATATTAATAAATGGAATTTTTGAAGCAAGTCACCTTTTCATGAAGAACTGTTGGCACCACCTGAATTACAAAACAATTTTAAGCCAGTAATTTTACTACATTTCTTTTAGCACACAGTTACTACAGTTTACCTATGCTGCAAGATTCTGACATCTTTCTTACACAGCACTTGAAGTCACATTTCTCATGGACAAAGATTTAAATACTATATTAACTACTATCTTTATATAATGGAAATTTAATTGAGGTAAGTTTTATATTTTTGTTTTTATTTGTAATTCTGTAGATCTGGTCTTAAGAAAAAAATTAAAAGCTGGAGAAATAATACTTATTCTTGCATCGATGCTAAGTGATAAAGCTTCATTATTCCTGGAAAATTACAGTTAGCAGCATAAATGGAGTTATCAGTTATAGTCAATTATATCAATTATAAGTTATCAGTATCAACAGAGTAGGTTATTATTTACTCAGAGACATATTTTCCTATTTAGAAGAAGAGTAAAAAATTCAGAATCCAAAGAAGTTTGGCACATTAATTCCTCGAATGATAATTTCTATGAATTTATAAATAAACTGTTAATAACAAAATCTAAATATTTCTCATTCTTAATGGGAGATATGAGTATTGATATAACAGGATAACTAATTTTAAGAATACCTCCTAGTAGGACAGGCAATCCAACCATTTCTCATGTCGTGATTGAAATATGACATTTCTGTGCGCCAACCCATCATAAGTCTTTCTGAAAAACATGCCACAAATTTGGACCAATCAATAAAGCAGTTGGTCAAGGCTAATTTAGCTGAAAATACAGATGTCATCAATGTAACTAAATTGACACATCCAAGGAAAAACAAAAGTTTACACTAAAATAGACAAAGATAGTCTAATGATTACTCCTAAATGAATATAAAGTCATCACTAGTCAAAAATACTTCAAAAATGAATTATATCAATACAATGTCATTGAGTAATTTCCCTAAAAAAAGTGAGTGGAGGGTTCATCTTTGTTTTTGGAATAATTACTTCAAACAGAGTCTCAAAAAGAAAGTTAGAAATCCAGATTGCTTCCTGACTCTACTCAGTTAAGTTGTTACAAGACTCTCCAAACAAATCTTTAGCCTGAAGAAATAATCACTTCCAAATTAGCCCTTTTAAAAAAGTGAATTAGCTCATCATTGCCTAGGCCTCAGAGAGGCACTGAAAAATTAAGATACTTAGAAAACGTAATCCTACACACAAAACCTGAAAACTTTCTTCTAAAGAAGCAACTATAATTAAGATAATAATTTTCCCCATCAAAACGCCTAAACCTAATTGAACCATTTAGGAAATATATGCAGTATTTCAATTTAAGTGATATTTACTATATTTAAATATTTTAAAGAATAGTATGTTTGTAATTTGTGGGATATTTTAATTCAAAGTGTTTTACAGACATTGGCATATGGTCCTTATATATATACATACACACTAATAGTTTTTTTTGCAATGTACTCTATGGAATTCATATGTAGATATAATTTGTTCTTGTTTTTGTTTTTTTTTTTTAAGAAAAACCTATGCTGAATGAAAAACTGGTGATAATTCACAGTTCAAAATAATTTTTTTTATTTTATAAAAAAGCCACAGAATTGAGATGCCTGGCTGGCTCAATCAGTAGAACATTTGACTCCTGAAACCAGGGTCGTAGTTCAAGCCCCAGATGGGGTGCAGATTACTTAAAAGGAAGGCACAGAATTCCTCTCAGCCAAAAATGTTACAATTAAGTTAACATGTAACTCAATGTAAAGGGGGAAAAAAAGGTGATTTGCATGCACTTACTAAATAGAGTACCTAATATATAAGGGGCAAATACTACCGACTTTTTAAAAAAACAGTTGTATGGGTGTCTGGGTGGCTCAGTCGGCTTCAGCTCAGGTCATGATCTCACGGTCTGAGAGTTTGAGCCCTGCGTTGGGTTCTGTGCTGATAGCTCAGAGCCTGGAGCCTGTTTCTGTTTTTGTGTCTCCCTCTCTCTCTGCCCCTCACCCATTTGCGCTTTGTCTCTCTCTGCCTTTCAAAAATGAATAAATGTTAAAAATTTTTCTTTTTTTTTAAAAACAGTTGTACACCAAATTGTACAGCTTCACCATTACATTAAAGTCCCTGGTTCAAATCCAGCTAGTGTTAGTAACAACACAAAGTGCTTAAGTCTTAATATAAACATCCTTCCTAAGGCTCAGAAAGATCATGAGATTCTTTCATATATAAGAATGTTTGAAAATATACTCCCTTTACTAACTGTGGTCTCTAAATTACCTGGTATAGGACTCAAGTAACAGCCATATAGTGAACCACAATGTATGGCTAAAAACAGAGCAAAATGACCACCATTAGATGAGCCACGGAGATCACATTTCCAGTACCAGCTCAATTCCATTTGACCAAAACACTTCTCCCCAACACACACACACACACACACACACACACACACACACACACACACACACCCCTACAATCAACACTATCCATCTCTTTTTTTCTTCATATTTTGGTCTTCCAATCTAAAACTAAATACAAAGTCAACTCAAATTGTTTTCTTCCATTATGTAAAATAACTGAATTTAAGAGTGATGAGTTTGCTCAACATAAAATATACACATTCTGAAAATGGTTTATTTCTTGCATCAACTTTAGAAGACTAAAGTCTTCTCCCATTTAAAATAAAGAGTTTCAAAACAGAATTACTATAACTACAGGAGCAGTCTTCAAAGTTTGATCCAGGGTTTCTCACTCAGGACCTGATCAGGATAGCTATAAAGTCAAAACTATTTTAATAATATGGCTAACAGGTTAAATGCCTTTTCTACTCTCATTTTCTGAGTATACAGTGGAGTTTCTCAGACACTATATGACCTTGTGATAACATAATCACTCTGATGACTAACGGAATGTATGTTTCTATATTCAATATTTCTTTTTTAATTTCAAGTACAAAAAATATCAATAGACATAACAACATAAACAAAAATTCGTTGGTGTCCTGAATAACTTTTAAGAGTATAAAGTGGTCCACAGACCCAAGAGTTTGAGAACCAATGAACAGAAATTTGGTGCCCACAAATAATGCTTTTAACATAGGAGGTAGGGATCATGTATCATGTTCCTTTCCCTCTATCTTTCACAGACCAAAGAAATAGATCTCCATCCTTTCTCATTTCATTACAGTTTTAAACACAAATTATCTGTCATGGATACTAAACACCTTCAATACAGTTGTTTTAAATAAATATGAAGCAGCCAAAACTGTCATGTAAATTTATATCTACTACCCTATGCTTCTTTAATTAAGTCTGCTTTTCTTCAGGTACCAGCATTTGAGAAAAACTATTTTAGTCTTCATTTGAATCACTGACTTTACTTTAATAAACATATTTCAATAGTGTTATCTATTTTTATTACATAATAATATATAGTAGTTCAACCTGATACAACCTATATGAACTAACTAAAGAATATAATTATCACTTATAATTGTTTTCATGAGAAACCATTTTCTACATTCCAATCAAATTCATAAATACACTTCTGGAATATAATCACTTTTCAGTCAAGATTTCCTCTACTTAATTGAAACTAAGCTAGCAAATATATGCAAATATACAGGTCTGCTTTAATTTGGACCTTTAGGTCACAAAGAACCAAAAATCAATTCAAATGAACTCCAGAGAAAGGAAGTCTCTTACAGTTATCAACACAAGAATGAAAAGCCCTAGCCACCAAGAGAGCCCTTACCCTCTTTCCTCACATGGTGTTTCGACCCCTCATATTCAATTATTTCCTTTCCATCACCTTCAATCTCAGCCTCATACATAATAAAAAAAAAAACAATTTCCTTCCCCTGTGTGGAGGGAGATCTCTTCCTGATCTTGCTCTATGATAAAATAAAAATAAAGTTTTTCCATTAGGAACTGATTCTCTACTGTATGTCTACAATAAAATTTTTCTATGAGGAATGGATTCATTTTCCCAATTTCTAATTTCTAAGACAGGAATTTGATCAGTTCTTGAGAAAGATAAGCTTTCTAAGCTTTAATTTCCTCATATGAAAAATGTAGAGATAAGAATACCTACCTGATAAAGCTGTCATAAACCAACAAGTCTTAAAAGATGAGCCTGATGGAAAAGAGGGGAAAGAGAAATTTGAGCAGGAAAGTAAGTGTGAACATCATGTTCAGAAAACTACACGTGAATTCAGCTAAGGCACGGTAGGTTTGTAAGGGCATAGTAGGAGCAAGATTTGCTAAGTGGAAGTCAAGCCAAGAGGGATACTGCTAACCATTCTAAGGAATGTGGAATCTCTACGGAAACAAACATTGAAGGATTTTACCCAAGAACAAGAACTCAAAAGAAAAATAGATTCAAAGAGATAGATAAGATTATGAGTTCAGTCCAACTGAGCTTTGAGCATTACTCAGTTTGAACTGAAAATAAAGGTTTATACAGAAAGAGAATACGACTAAGAATTATTTAGCAGTCTCCGTTTACAAGAGGTAGTTGGAGTCAATACTCAAGCAGTTGCTAAGGGTCCTTTTCCAACAGTTTTGAGCAATCTCCACAGAAAGAAACATCCATACGTTTACCTATCTAGTTCTGAAACTAAAGTTTCTCAAAACAATATTGATCTTGGTACACCTGGGTGGTTCAGTGATTTGAGCGTCTGACACTTTATTTCGGCTCAGGTCATGATCTTGCGGTTCGTGAGCTCGAACCACGCATCAGGCTCCATACTGATAGTATGGCGCTTGCTTGGTATTGTCTCTCTCTGCCTCTCTCTGCCCCTTCAGCTCTCTTTCAAAATAAATAAATAAACTTAAAAAAAATATATTGACCTTTACTGTTTAATACATCTGCTCACTTCCATTCCTATTTAAAACAACAACAACAACAACAACAACAACCAAACCTGACAGTTTGGATCTACTACATTTATATCAAAACCTACTGCTTGAGCCTTTACTAGCAAAGTAAAACTAATCTAAAAGCACCACTGTAGTACTCAGAGCAGACTCTGATATCTAAGGGCCATTACACTGGAATTTTTAAATCTTATTCATAATTGTCTACATTAATGGAGATACATGAATTTGTATATTTTTAAAGGATCTTTTTACTTTGGGGGTAAATTTTTATACATTTTCTTGAAAAACATGTAAGTATATTTATTGTTATTATCCTATGAGCATTTAGATATAGGGAAAACATACTTCCCAGTGTCTCAAGTAGGCCTAGAGATTTAATTTTGTAATGCTCTGAAATGAATGAGAAGGACACAATAGTGGTTATACATGTAATATAAATTCCTAAAGGATACAGGTCTCCAAGAGGAATTTTTACTACTTTTATGCCTAAAACAACATTAGGCCTTATTTGCTGTAACAGAGGCAGCACAAAGTAGTGGTTAAGCACATGGATTTTAATGAGATAGTGTCCAGATTCTAAGTTTGGCCCTGAAACGTACTAGCTTTCATTTCTCTGTGCTTCAAGTCTCCTCATATGAAAAATGGACATAATATTACCTACCTCATAGAGATGGTATGAAAATTAAACTAGTTAAAATAGGTAAAGTATATCACAGAGTGCTGGATTCACATGTTAAGTATTATTATTTACCTTGGAGCAAGTTATCTAGCCAGACTCTTACTTCCTTTAAATAAAGGGGCCTTTCACTGTGGGTCTGTCAAGTACTTTATCGTTCTCAATATAAAGAATAAGGCTGCCATTTTTCCATCATGATGTCCACAGAGTGTTGAATCATAGTATTTTAAGTTATGTGCAATTTGAAAGTCTTACATAAACGAGAACTTGAACCTTCATACTCTCTCTCTTCTCTCATTCTCACTAGTTGGTATACAAAAAACCCAAAGTACTGACACTAGTAATTGTTCCATGCCATTAAATATATTAATTCACTGTCATGATTATGTCTACTTCAATCACTGTCATTTATTGGTTATTACACTATCCCTCTCTTTTGTACTGCACACATTGTTTTTAGGTATCCATCATGAAACCTAAAAAATAATGGTCTGGGGCCACTGACTATCAAGTCAAGTACTCTTATACCTCTCAATTGACCCTGAGTGTATTGATAGTTATAGTGATGACCCTCAATCAACCAGAAAAGTCTATCTTAATATATTCTCTTTAACAAAGTATTTTAGAAAGGTTGAAAAAGGTTTAAATTTAAATGAGTGACCTTTAGTTATCTAGTCTATGGTGTAAACTCTTCTGTAGATGTTCTCCCAAATTACTTCTTGTTATAGGATAACATTTAAAATATATTAATTAGTGAAGTCATATATAAAACATAACATTTTTTGGAAAATACAAATTATATTTACATAGAAAAATCCTGACAATATTCATTCAGGTATAAACAGTGATTGATTTGTCTTTGGGTTCTGGGTAATTTGTGATTTCTGCCATTTTGGCTTTGTGTTTTTCAAACTTTCCTTCATGACGATGTACTGATTTTGTAATTTAAAAAAGCAAAATAAAGAAATAAAAGGATTCTCTACCTCTTCTCATCTGTTTATGTTTAAAATAATACTCCATATCTAATAATTCAAACGAAAACTATTCTATTTAGGATAAGTCTGACAGCTAAAAATCACTAAAAAGTTTTTCTAAAATTTAAAATTTCTATCAAATGCAAAGTATCATTCTATAAATTAAATATTTAAGGTCTTTCAGGGCAGGTGAATTTCTGTGCATTAAGAGCTACTTTTAAATAATTGTTTGAGAATTATTCAGGCCTTCCTAACCATCACCAGGATGTTCTGAAATAGGATATCCTATAGAAGATCACAGTTTTAAAACTGCAAGGTCTCACAAAACAGGTAAAATTTGTGAGTGGACTACCGTTTCCAGTAGCTGCAAAAGGACAGTGAGGTTAAGAAAAAAGCACTTTCCACACTATTCATTTACCCTGACCCATAATATATGAACTAACTATTCCTTTTCTACCCAAGTAGCTCCCTATTACCAAACTTAAAAACTGTTTTACTCTAAGAAATCATTTTTTTAAAAAATCCTCTACTCCAAATTTACCCACCCTGTTTTCATTTAATAATCCTCTTAGACTATCTATATCCCACAATGTTTAATTACATCAGAAATTGCCCATTTAAACTGTGTAGCTTCAATAAATAACCTAACTATGGTTGCAACGTGTATCATTTGAAACTTTAGCAAGTTTCTTACATTAAAAAAAATTCCCTTAGAACTCTTAAGGTATTTTTTTAAACTGTCTCAAAAAAAAATCAATTTAGAGCTATATCTACTGAAGAATCAATAAATTATGTATGTTAGAATACTTACTTAATTTTCTTGCAGGGCCCTCTACCACTGCCCTATTAAATAACCATTACATCATTATTTAACATCAAAGTGTGGAACATAGGCTTCTTTTGCTTTAAACAAAAAGCAGTATGTGACTTGCAAGCATCACCTACTTACACATGTCCTACATGGCCCAAGACTGAAAATCCACAGATAATTTTCCTTCACTATCTGCTGCTGCCTGTAGAGATTTAATCTCCTTTCCTCTCCTAGCCAAACTGTCGGCAAACTTCTTCAGAAAACTCCAGCCATCACCATTCTGGCTTCAAGCAGGGAACAAGTCAGGACCAGGTCAACACAAATTAAATTTGGGACTAAAGAGGAAATGGAAATAAGGGAAAGGTAAGCACCACTGAAATGATCGCATTCTACTTTCAGTTCCCCATTGCAAAAAAGTTAACCTACCTACCCTTCCTTCACATACATTTTTAACACTAATTCTTTTCATGATCTCCCTTGGAGATGCAACAATGAAGTCTATACAGAAAATGACTTTTGGTTTCTGAATCCCCAAATATCCACCACTGCTATCTGTCCTTGGACTGAGCTTTCCCTAAGTGTTTTTTATTCCTTCTCCAAATCTCTGTTATTTGTATAAACTCTTAGAAAACCTCAAAAAGATAGAAGACTTGCTCTGATGATAGGAAAAGAGAAGGGAATACTAACACTAATTTGTGTCTTAGTTGAAGAAAGGAAAAAAAAATCCTAGTTACAAAAAGAGTGGATGATAACAAGAGGCTAGTAATGAACCTAAGAAGAGAAGAGATGAAGGCCCAATGCCAGGAAATAATGAGTGTGTTCTAGGTATTTTCAATGGAAGAGTTCTAGTCAGACCGTTTAGCTTCCAAAGTAAAAAATCTGTTCCCCAGATTCTAACACCTACTTCTGTGCCCCCAGCTAGCTCACTGCTGAAGTTCCTGTCCAGGTCTTTGGAATCATCATGAAAAGACAGAAATGTGTCCTCTGAATCTCCTAACCTAGTGCTCTGAAGATATTTTTCTATAGAAATATTCTTATCAAAAGCAGCTAGGCCTCATAATCGCAGCAGTATTATAGTTCATAGGAAATGCTACGTAGACTAGCTTAGAAACACATTACATAAAACACTCCTAGGAAAAGGTGTTCCTAGTTCCACTCAACTCCTTAAAAAAAAGCACGTCTTTAAAAATTCAATGCTGGAAACTGCTCATTTGTAGGTCATGAACTACCTCTACTTCTGATGCAACCATAGCTAGTATGGCAACCTTTCCATGTAGAAAAGCAAGTTCCCTTATTCCTATTTAAAAAAAAAAATAGAATCTCCTTTTTCTAAACTTAAATATCCTGAGTAGCAGATTGCCTGATTATAGCAGTACAAGCCATTGCTGGAAGGCAACCCAACAGTGGGATGAGAGTAATTTCACACGTATCTTCTATTTAAGCAGTCACACATGTTACGACACTGCACAAATGCCAAAGTGTGAGCAAAAAACCCTAACTTTTATAAACCTAAGTTTCAGTTGAAGAGCCCTGTAAAACTTAAGGAAAATAAGCCTGCTATTCTAATCCTGAATTTGTTACTTAAAAAGTACTTTAATAGAGTAAAATCATTTCTATCCTTAAAAATACAAGTATGTAAATTTTTCACTATTCTGATGAAACACAAATATATGTTATTCTATATAACATTCACAAATATATATTCTTTTTTCAGGACCTTCTAA